ATAAAGATATTCTTTTTCTAGGAATTGCAAATAAATCATTCAAAGTATAAATCAGTTTACGGTATAACCCTTTTAACGAGGAATCACGAATTGTTTTGTAAAAATACAGGTTTCATTTCTTTCATGTCAGAGGAAATGAGACGCATTTCGAATTATGATTTAGAGAAAAAATATATAAGGTTAGAATTTTAAGTAAGTATTATATATAAATTACTACATGTATATATTTATGTGTAATAATTCACTTTAACTCTCTCTCGAGGGATTTTACTTCATTCATATGAAGCAATATTGCATCATCCGCTTATTTTGACCAATCACATAAGTCATTAACGGAAATCGTATGATTCTTAAAGCTTCCTGTTGAAAAACCGATAAAAACTGAGATCTCCGTATGTCTTTGTGTTCTGCATGATTTAATTAACTAAGTAAATGTGCAACTAAAATTACAAGAAGTCTCCTCAATCTCTCAACGACTGCTGGATTTCACACATAAAATATTTTAAGTCAAGGGAAATCTACTACATAAATATGTATTTATGAGTTATCAGTGGAGTACTCAGACCTCTCTTATGGAGGGGGGGGAGGGTGTAGTATGCATTATGATAAAACATTGATGAAAACACCGAGGCGTAATCTCTACGGTAAAAATTAAGAATGTGTTGGTCTATTGGGGGTTGCTCCTCCTTCCTTGCGTACATCAATGTGGGATAATGATATTTAAGTTTTGAAGATACAATCAACAAGTAATATAAAAATAAAATTTTAAGTCAATTCATACTTAGGTCAACAAAGAAAAATTTTAGTTCAGTTACTTTTTATTAAATAGTTACAATTACTATAAATATGTATATACATATGACACAGTAGCGCAGACAAAAAATTTTCAAGGGGGTCCATGGCCGAAAGTCCGCCAACTCGCATACTACCTCAAGACAACACCAATTGATTCTTCTGATTTTGTCGATTTTGTCAACTAAAACAGTAAAAAATAAATTATTGAATTAATCATTAGCATTAATTAATAAAATAAATTGTTAATTACAAGTCCTTTATTAAATTTTACTTTATATATATACAGGATTATCATCAATCGAAAAAAACTCAAGGGCCTTACCCCTAGCCCCCTTGTGTGCGCTCTTCGTCCATTCTGACAACGTGACATGTCCATTTAATTCGTTGTACTTTGAGGAAGTTAACAATGTTAGATCCTTTATATGATTAATAGAGCTCAAAATTTGACCTTCTTTTATCCATTAATTAAATTTAATTATTCTAATAAAATAGAATGGTAAAAAAGAAATCACATTCTCAGAAATTAGGCCATCCCAGGTGGGATTCGAAGCCACGGCCTTTGGATTAGAAGTCCAACGCGCTATCCTTTGTGCTACAGGGGTACAACGAACGATTTTCCTTTCTATATATGCTGTCGGACTATTATTTTTGTTTGTTACTATTTATTCATTTTTAATTTAATTATTGAATTAATATTTGAAAAACCGTATTAACATCAAGTGTCATCGACTACAAATGTTAAAAAAATGTATTTGATCTTAAATGGATGAATAGAAAGTGTTTTATAAACAATTGAAAATTTTAATAAGGTATATATATAGGAGAGAGGGAAATAATAGTATAAATTGAAAAAAAGAAAGAAAGGAAAACTAGAAAAGAGAGAGTATATATATATATATGTATTTTCATTTCACTTTCTGGCTTAACCGCAACCACAGAAATTACTGCAATTACATAGATACGTACATAGATTACATCAATAAGTATTAGATATAACTATCCACTATTATAATTCGGTGAAAGGTGTAATTTCTCCGAGTATTGTTGTAAACAAACAGTCAAAACAATAATCCAAATCCGTCCTACATCCCTACCAGGGATCAATGGCAATTTTTATAAGTAAATGCATGTTATTTGTGGCTGCCTGGAACACGCGTATTAACTTAATGGATTTTCCAAACTAAAATCATATAACTCCTCCGCCTTCCTATTCCTCTCATAGCGTCCTTTTCTTCCGTAACCGTGGATTCATTAGTAATAGCGAGTGTATCGTAAAGCTTCGCAGGCTGATCACTATCAAGTATGTGTTATCCTAAGGGATTGAGTAATTTTGACAGGGAAACGTTGTGTCCACTTTCATTTATTACCAGCCAGCTAGCGAAGTAGGCTAGTATTTTTTCTGCGCGTTGGTATGTATTTATGAAGCACAGAATGGCGAGGAGTTTGCGTTCTTCGAACTGTGAAATTACTGGCGAAGTTTCTCTGATGGAAAAAGAGCAAAAACATTAGTATTTGATGAGAGTTTTCGGTGTCCGTCAAATTTGTTTTGGAAACTGAATTTAATTAAGGTTTTTTTTTTAAGGTAGAGGAAGATGATGCCTTATTTCCTTTCAAAATTTTTGGTGTTGGTTTTATATGTCTTAAAATATATGACTTGTGGTGTATTGAGAAATTTTTAATGGGGTATTTCCACTGCAACCTATATTTCAACATTAATTTCAAATTTAATTGTTTAATTTAACGTGAAAAGAATGTTTATGTGGAATGCAAGATTTCATATATTAATTTTTTCAGAAAATGTGTATGAAAATAAAAATATTTTATTAGAAATTATCTGTTTAAAATTTCAGTATACATCAATCCTTGTAAGAGACCTCTCTGTCCCCTTTTATCTATACTCCTCTGTATCTTTACATTTAAGTTTTAATATACCTTTGATACTACCAAATTGGATAACAACCAAATGAAAAAAAATCCTGAAGGGTATGATTTTTTTACTAAAAATTAACAACAAATAATCTAATTATTAATCTAACAACAATTAATCAAGCAAACAATTTAATCTAAGAAACATTAAGACATCGTCTCAAGGAAAGAAAAATATATTGAACCTGTTTATTTTGAGGTTTAAGAGAAAACTTACGTTTTGAAATAATATGTGTGTAAGCATTGTTAGACCAAAAATGTAAGTGATTTAATGTATACTAATTTCAGGATTAAAACATTAATTATAAGATTAAAATTTTACTCTTTGTCTCAGAATACATGAATAAAATACAAAGAAGACGCAATAGATTTTAACTATACAAAAAAAACATACAAATTACTCTTCCATTTTTCCAAAGTCTTACTATCCATTACATAAGCTATCTACTTATTCTTTTTCCTAACTAAAGGAAGCGTTTCCAATTTCTCTGAAAACTTATTCACAAGTCTTTTAAATTCCCATCGACAGTTTCATCATTAGTCTCATAATATAAAACTCAAATTTTATCTTTGATCTTAAAGATTCTAAGGAGCTCTCAGGAAGCAAATCTGAAACATATGAAGGCTGGAAATAATTGAGTTTCTTTGGTACGATAAAAGAAGTCTGTTGTTTTGAAAGGCATTATATTGATGAATGTTGTGGTGATGCCATTTCTCAGACATTTAATTTTAGTTTTAGATCTTATTTCCAATTTTCTAATGCTTTGTGCAAGCATTGAGTTATATACCGCGGAGTTATGGCAGTTTTTTGAGGGTTGTAATATTAATAACAGCAAAATGTTCTTTAATGCTAAAAATGTAGTCATTAATTTTACGACAAAAAAAACTATTAGGTATTTTATAATTGTATAATGGTGGCTGACGTTTGGAGGTTTAAACCGATGACTGTTAATTTTTCTGTCTGGAATGGTAAATTTATGAAGAGTAACAGATGGAGTAAAAAAAGAGTTTTATGCTTCTGGTTGATATTTTTACTTATTTAAGGTTTTCACACATATATTTTTTAAATTAATTTACTTGCATAACTCTTCATGCAACATGTTACACAACATGAGGATTACAGATTTAAGTTGTAACAGCTTTATCTAATTTAAATCTAAAAGTGTAAATACTTTTTAAATACAAATATAAAATGAAAAGGAAGAGGAAAATATAAATATAAAATAAAGGGAGGGGAGGGAGAGTTACCTATAAAATTTTTAAAATCTTTACAGTAAACAAAATTAATAAAGGATTAAAGCCACGATTTTCAAACTGTGGGGAGGCCCCACCCTAGGGGGCGTGATAAACCTACATGATGGGCTCGAGTATTTGGAAAAATTGAAGATAAAATATTATGCAAAAAATAATTTACTTAAATGAAGCAAACCACAAATACGTTCTGACGTGATAAAAATAAAGTACACATTTACACTGATGTAATGTTCTTATAAATGCATCAGTATTTCTCAATATATTTTATGATTAATTTATCAATACTAAAATAAATGCAAGTTAAGTACATATGTAACTAGTGACTCCTATATAGGCGTGACTGACAAAACTTTGCAAAGTTTTGCAAAAGGGTAACCTATAATACTTATCTATAATACTTGAAAGCAACATATACAAAATTGAATACTTATTTTGATAATTTGTATGGTTTGTAATTAAGATATTATTATAGTTCAGCATAAAAGTTCATTATTATTGCTAAGAGTTCATTGCTATTGTTAAGGGGCGGGGAGGCATGATGAAAATGATGACTAAAAATTGGGTCGCAAATTTGAAAGTTTGAGAAGCACTGCATTAAGGCTTTCAGGAAAAATGACCAACAAAAGCAAAACAGGTGGCCAGGAAATGCATTATAGTATTTCAACTCATTCTTGAAATTTTCTCGTTTACAAAAATATAGGTTACAATACAACAAAACATGTTCAGCAGTTTCAATATCCCGAACACACATGAACAAATATCACCATCAATTAAATTAAAAGACGAATAGCTCTTAAAACTTTCATATCCTATAAGAATTTGGAATAACTTGAAATCAGTAAAAAATTTTTTTTCACTTTAACAGCTGTTAAACTGTCGGGAAAAAAATTTTTATACCACAAAATAGCATGAGGTTTTACAATAATTTTTCTTACAATTTAAATTAATGCTTCTTTTTTTTACGAAATTGTAATTCCCTTTACTCTTTTAGAGACTTTTACTTTTCTTATACTTTTTAAAACAAAAGTAACAGCATCAAATTATGTCAGAAACTTTATTTTTGTTTTCAAATTTTCATGATGTTTTTTGGTACACACTTCTAAACTCCTGTTATAATAATAAAAATAGATCGCAGTAAAATCTAATTTACTAGTTGCTGGACAAATGCAAAATGATGAGCTCATATATGAATTTGATAAAAGGTGAGTTGTAGGAGTTGAACGCATCCGTTAAAATTTTGCTCCCTAGAAGAAGTGAATAAAAATACAATCTTTCAAATTGCATTGATAATGCAGTAGAACCGTTTTGTGTTACCCTATTTTTTATGCGATTATGTTTTTGCGTAATTTGTTTTGTGCGATCTTTTTAATGCGGTATATGAATTTCAATGGCTTGGGCTCCACTGTAATGTTTTCTGTGAATATACATACACACATGTGTACAATTCAAGATGCTCTGTTTATTGGTTATAAAAAGTCTCTCGACAATTCACGTTCAATTTCTCTCTCTATGCACTAGCAGCACGTGACTGAAGACGAAACTTTCAAGACAGTGATGTTATTCATAATTTGATGGATTAAGAAGACGGACAAAAAGAACAGGATTATTCTAGAGCGGATAAACTATATGCAGGGATCCAGCTTTCGAATAAATTGGATAAACATTTTCTTAAAATAGACACCAATTCCGAAAGGAGTTAGATATTCCAAAAAGAGATTCGATCATGCATTTCTGGTTATCGTGACGTTCACAAGCTACTGACCAAACGACCGTCGTCCCTAAGACTTATAACTTATTTTATGGTGCCAAAAATATATCAAATGAAATTGTATCTTTAAGTGACGAAAGTGGTTTTAAACTACTTCATCATAGGAAAATGCGTGCTTTGGTTTACGAAGGGTAGCGATGAATTATATATGAGCATTTTGACAATTTCTCCATGAGTATACAATGAGAAATCAAATGTTTTAAAAATGTTTCCATGCGGAATTTAATTACTTATTTTGTTTGGAAGTACTTTCGCATAAATTTTGCAAAAATTGACATATCTCTTAAGTGTGGATTTTTTATGCAGTCCCTCTCCTCCGAATAAAAAAAAATTATGTATTATATCGACGAAGTGGATAGCTACATGTAAGTATTTATGAAATTTCTGCATATTTTTTGTGCGGTTTTTTTAATGCGGTCCCTATCTACCGCACAAAAACAGGCTTGACTATATTTATATATTGATTTTTATATTGTTATTACATACACATTTTAAGGCCGCTGCTCTTTTAATTAAAAAGAAAATAAATGCTAAGTAAATAAATTTGAACTGAATCAAGAATTAAAATATGTGATAACTACTAAAAAATTAAAGTTAAACATTAAATTCATTTACAATAAACATTTTCTTTTCAAGTCTGGAAACTTAATAAAC